ATAGTTAGGTTCTATTTTATAACGATCGATACAGGATTCATAAAATAAAATACATAGAGTTGAATATAAAAAAAATTAAGGGGGTATGAAGGTGGATGAAGCCTCCTACTTCAGATACTATTCCAATTATACAAATTTCGACTGTTTTGTTAATTAATTAATTTTAAAAATAATTTTGATAGCGCCGTGATTGCTGTGTGATCTTGCTTTATTTTCGAGACAACTAAATATGATTAACGCTGCAAATTAATGGGTAACTTTCATTTATCCATATCATTTTGTTTTTGATTTTTACTTTGAATACTGTAAATTATTTACCGTTAAAGATAAAAATATTATCTATATTGTCTTATTGATTTTTAAAAATATTACAATTTTTAAGCGGGTTATAAATACGTAAAACATTGAAATTTAAAAATGCACATAACTGGCTTTATAATTAAAATATCGTAGAAAACTAACACCGGAACACAGATAATGTTCATAACTTTAAGTTTTCTAATAAGCTACTTTACTCTGTTATTAAAATTTAAAGCTAACATCACAAAATTAGAACTACTTAACATACAATTTGGTATGTTTTTCGTTAGTAAAATGGAGACAAAACACGTGGATACCTACAACATTGTCTTAATTTATTAGCGTAATATGTAAAGAAAACGTTTTGATATGATATAATAATAAATTTAATTGTTCATGCCTAAATAAATTATATTATATTATTTTTAACAATGCTTAAATTGCTTAAGTGCGCGTTTGATAATAAATTTAGCTTCACGTAGCCTATTTTTTATGAGAATTTGAAGTTTAAATGTTGATGAACTTGGATATTCACACGTAAAATCACGATTCCTTATCAAATGATTACATAAATATACGTAAAATTAAAAATAACATTTTAAAAACTATCGTAAGTAATTGAAATTATTGTGTAAGTTAAGCAGCATCTACACATAATACACAGACGGCTGTACACAGTGTACAATCTTTAGCTATAGACGTCCCACAGTTATTTGTTATAACTTTTTTTTTAATTTTAGATTTTTACTTAAACGTTTTTCATTATTTTGATTACAATACTAAATCATTAAATTTACAATTTTAGTGTTGAGATATTCTTTAAAATATTTTGTATTTTTCCATGCCAGACTAATAAACTGACATAATGCAATAGTGTATAGAAATAGCCTAACCATAACACCATGTGGTTTTAATTTTTATGTTTCAAATTTTCACTAATTCATTAAAAACAAGAACATTTGTAAATCATTTTTGTCATTAAAAATTATTAAATTTTTTTAATAAAATTGATTTTGATGGAATTTTAAAGCAAATTGCTTTATTGATGTTCATTTTTTATAAGAATTATTCAAGTTTAAATTTTAACGTAACTGAACATTCGTATAAACAAATAATAATAATTTTAATAAAAAGAATATTAAATTTAGAAGCTGAAATATTCCATCATTTTCATTTCCTTTATTTAATACAAGTTTCATTTTATTTGAATTTAAACTATTTATAGGCATTAATATAATTTAGTTATTTATTTATTTTTGTCCTCAGTGAATGACTTCTCCTATCAAGCCTTTCTGTCTAACCTACTCAATTAGTATATAAGGTTATTGCAACAACTTGTATAAATTGTTTAATTTAAATAAAAAATAAAAAAACAAAAATTATGTGTTGAAAATTTAATGTAATAACCCACATAAGTTGCTCTTTTAGAAATTTAAAAATATTCAAAATATATAGACATGATTTTTTTTTTACAATTGTGTTCAAATTTTAAATAAATTTGACAAAACACAACAATATACAATTCATTTTGTAACTACTAATGTATAAAATGTTCAATTTTTATAGCTCTTGAAAATGTAGTAGAAATTTCGTCATATATGAATTATGAACTCGATAAATAACGTCCATACTGAAAACAAAAATCCTAAAAATACATAAACGTAATTTTTTTTAAACATTTCAATATCAAATTTGGATTAATTTAGATATTTAAATGAACAACAACAAATTTAATTAATATGATATAGTTCAAAAAAGTGTTCATGGAATAGTCACGTTTTCAAGGTAATAACTAAATTAATATAAGATGTAAGACCACAGTCTTCACTCAGAATCTTTTTATAGTATACAGTGATCTATTATTAAATTCAAATTTTACACATACCTACATTACATTGATTATATATTTATATGACGTACATATTGTACAAACAATATTATACATTACATCATGTTGATTATTATTGTCTTTGTATCAATATTGGATTAATGAAATCTAATAATTAGTATCAAATTGCCTAAATCAACCGTTTCATTTATGATTTATTCGAATATAATGAATATTGTACCTACATTTAACATTGCACATGGCACATGCAACCTCAAAAATGAAGTTGGTCACAACTGTATTTGCTGTAAAAGCTGAAACATGAAATTTTTCCCAAGTATGCGATAGTGGTGGACAGTTCGCGTTTTGCTAGGAGGGCATTTTTGAGGTTTGCCCGATTTCAAATTTTTCTCGTAATATGCATGTGCTTATGTATACAATTTTGAGGGGTCGTGGATCAAAGAAGGTTGCACAATGATCATTTACCCAATGACAATGTACACTCGACAATCGACACCTGTAACAGCTGTACGTGCAGAGGCGTATTTAGAGGTGGGGGTAATTACCCTTGGCGCCAAATTGTAAGTCTCTAAAAGGGGCGCTGCGCTAGTAATTTAAAAGTTTTTTTATCTAATGACCTTCTCTCCCCCTCCCCGAAGAAAAATAATTTTAATTTTTTTAAAGGGCATCTATTTATTTTTGCACCTTGGCCGCCAAAATCATAAATACGCCTCTGTGTACATGGAAAAATGGTTACATTCTTTCCCAATATTTTTTCTCACAGTAAGACGTACCTTCCTCCACAAGATATACCACCTACCGAAAGTATCTTTCTAATTTCTTATTTTTCATGTATCACACGATATGTGGCGCGAGACCCAAAATCCGTAAAGAGACAAAGAGTAAAGTTAGAATGGCTCGAGACGAAAACAGTAGCGTGGAACGATAACAGTTACGCCATCTGTTCGTTGATGAATGTGTGATGCAAGACGCAGTATAACCACAGTCCGCGAGTCATGCCATAGTGCAAACATCGTTAAACGGTTTGATGTTTGATGTTTGATTATTCCTTTCGTACAATTCATTCTCTTAAATAATTATTTTAGTCATAAATGTTTCAAAATATTCTACATTCTACTTTCTAACCTCTTAATTGTTCGTCCAACGCGCATCTTAAAAAAGGCAAACATTATGATTTATCGTGGAATAGCTTTCAATGGAGCAACTAGATGATTACATTTCTCAACGACAAAAATAAACGAAAACGCGTACAAAGTTAGAGAATATGTCTTAAAAAATCGCATTTCTTTGAAAATATATTTTATTAGAAGTGTATTAAGTCGATAAATGTGTGCACAGACCATCCCGCATCCTGCATTCCAGCCATAAATTAAGAAAAAAGTTGTTGCCTTGTATTCAAAATTATTTAAATAATGTATAATATAATATTACTATAAAATATTGTACCGTTATAAACTACGAATCTGTGATCTAAATTAACACAACATTAAATAAACTAAACAATTTTAGTATATAATAACATAATAACTAATAAGTTATAAAGAATTATAATACCTCTGTACACCTAAAATCTCTATAGGTACCTACTCATACATTAGGTACAGTATTTTGGTTCTTATCACAATCTTTATTTCAAAATATAACTATAGTAAGGCTTTTGTTTTAGTTTTTGAGAGCACAAGTCTCCCCCCCCCCCCCTTAGATGTGCCAATGTGATAATGACTAATATAAATTAACTCTACTGTTAAAAGTAACTATTAACAAAGTAAAACAGATTCTTCTTAACATAAAATTTGCTGCTCACGTATCTGTAAAAATGAGTCAACATAATAATATACTGGTAGACATTCTCTTAGAGAAAATATTTTGATTTGTAATGGTATTGAATATTTTTTATTTTTGTTTTATACATTTTGTCAATAGTATACATTATTAAAAACATAGACCAAAAATAATAATTTAGTATTTCTCAAGGTAGAAAAAAACTAGATACATATAAAGCAATTATATGACTAGTAAAAAAAACCAACACTCTTGAAGTCATGTATTTTATTGGCTTTGAAGTAATTTAAATAAAAAGTACAACATTGAAATATTTATGAAATATCACAATATAAATTCATATTAAAAAAAATATATTTTTTTTTCATTTTTAAATTGTTTACATTACACAAACATTATTTATACATTACCACATCAAACAACACATTTGGCTAAAAAAAAAAATATTCTTTCAAATTTATTTAGATGAAAATTGTATAGTTTAATATATTTATAAATTTATTATTTCTTTAAATTTAAACACTTTAAAATAATGATCAGTAAAAATGTAACTCAAATTTATTGATCAAAATTCAATATTGAAATATTAGTTAATATATGCAAATATGCAATATTTAAATATCAAACAACTTTGCCTCATTATTTTAAGGTAAAAATATTATGATAATAAGTAAACATTTTGACAATGAGAGATCCAATTTTGGTAAGTTTTTAAATTAAAAGAACATCTTAGTAAACACTTATGAAAAGGATAATTTTACTAGAGGACAAATATCAACCTTTTATAAAAATTTACCTAAAATACAATTTTATAAATGTTTATCATAAACAATATTACAATCACATAATTAATATAACTGAATTTTTCTAAAAAATGTGAGACAATATGTCATATATTTCCATTTTATGTAATTGAAACTTTTATATTTAAAAATGATTTTCTAAAAATATATGCTCATTTAATATCAAATACTTTTTTGAAAATATTAGTTAGGTCAATATTAAAAAAAAATATTTTAAATAGTAATCAGATAGTTCCAAAAAAGTAATTATATGACAATATATATTTAATGTTTTTTAATTTTGTAATGACATGTAAAAATTTATAATAAAATAAGATAATAATAAAATGAAAAACAGACGGTGGAGAAATAAGATTTCCACGCGCTGACTAGAAACTAGAACAATATGTTTATACATGTGAGGTGGTATGAAAAAAAAATATGTAAATCAAATTCTTAATAAAACTACAACATAAACATCAAAATTCAAAATATTAAATTATATAAAAAAAGTTAACAACGAAATAATAATAGTCTACAAAAACAGTTATATGGATGACAAGTGTAAACCGCTTATACAATACTTATAAAGAAAACAAAAAAAAAAAAAAAAAAACACTTATTTTTTTAAATAGACTTTACTGGTAACGTTGATTTTCACTTAAATATTTTTAACCCTAAAAATTACATTGGCGATAAATGACCATTACTCATTTTATTTTTGTCTACATCGAACGCACTATATACAGCAACAGTGTCACCACCTTCAAAAGAAATGCTTTCATTATCTACATCTTCTTCGTATGTTGTACATGGTGACATCAACGAATGATCAGCAGGCGATTCGTTATGCATACCGCGTGTATGATAAAATGAAACTGATCTATAAACAGAAAATGAAAGTATTGTAACAAATTATATGTAATTTTGTAATATAATTAATTAGTGAATAATTTATAATAAATTAACCTAAAATCATCCTCCAGATAAACATCAAGCGTTTCTACTATTTTTAGGAACCTTGGTCGTTGAGAAGCAGTCCAATTCCAACATAGTCTAACGATACCAGCCAACACGTCAGGACAAAATATCGGCAAGTTAAGTAAGTTTCCGTCAAGCACGTGTGCCATGACTTCATTGTTGCTCTTTTCTGAATAGGGTTGCGCTCCCAACGTCATCATTTCCCAAATCACAACTCCGTAACTCCAGACATCTGATTGACTGGTAAATATACCTTCACTAAGACTCTCGGGAGCCATCCACCGTATAGGCATTTCACCCTTATTTCCTTTACGATAATAATCACCATTATATATTTGTCGACTCATACCAAAATCGCCAATTTTCACTGTCATATCATTAGCCACCATACAATTTCGGGCTGCTAAATCACGATGAATAAATTTATTATATTCTAAGAATGCCATACCATCAGCTATTTGAGCAGCCATACGAATGATAGTATATCTGAAAAATAATCAAACAATCATAAGAATGTGTTAATAAATGTCTAAAGAAAAAAATTAATAGACAAATCTTTACCTGTTGGGTGGAGGTGGATCATCAGAATTCTTGCATTTTACCAATACACTTTTCAAATCGCCACGACCCATGAGTTCCATCACCAGTAGTGGTGGATGGGTCTTAGTCACCACACCAAGCAATCTCACTATATGATATGCTTCGCTGAACTTCTTCATTATAGCTGCTTCGTTTAAGAACTCTGCATGATATCTCAAGAAGTTTGTCTTGCTTACAGATTTTACAGCACATGGTATAGAATCAGGCATTAACAGGCCTTCGTGAACTGTGCCAAATGTCCCTCTACCAAGTATTTTTTGTATAATCACGTCCTCTCGAGGCAATTCAAATTCATCTTCAACATATATACCGACATAGCCAGGATTATTGGCTAAATTAAACATGGTATTACGTTCCAAAATCTTACGACTAAAGTGTGTGCGAATATAATATACTGTTAATAAAATTAATAAACAACCACAAATGAAAATTATGAAAATAAGGTTCCAACTATTAAATGAGTCTGGATATGGAAGATTAAACTCTTTCACAGTAGTGAATGGTCCAGGTCTGTACAAAGAAACAGCTTGGATTCTGTATTGATAAAGACCAGGGTGCAAGTTCTTGAAGACATATGATCGGCCATTGTTTTCGTACTCCTTCATGGTAATACACACAGAAACATAATTAAGCGCATCTAATCGCTTATATTCCAATTGGAAACTATGTAATATACTATTTATAAGAATTGGTGGCTCCCAAGATATAATAACAGTGTGATTATTCACAACTTTGTCCTGTACACTATTGCTATCAATAATATCTGCCTGCTTATTCTCCAAAGTGCGGAAAGATATTAGTGTCTCTTGACTACAAGAATTGATATAACTTAGGTTTAATTCTTGTTTAACCACCTCTCTACAAACTAATATGGATAGCAAATATTGACTGTAATGCTTAAGGTTAGTAAGATTAAGCGATGAAACATTTTCATCTAACTGTATCTGGAAATAAGACGAGCTGCCATCTTTATGCGTGACATTGTTCAATATATTACTGACTGACCACATTTCTGTACAGTTTTCATTTACAATATTTGGAAAAATGGTGTCGTCATTGTTTTGCATTGCCAAACATTTTGAATTAATAAATATATTAAGAATATTACTACTGCACGATTCAAATGTATATCTGTGATTGTTCAATGAAATTAAATCTAAGTCTATGCCATGTTCAAAAGTGTTGCATATATTGTTAACAGTATTCTTTTGTGGTTCACACTGTTTTTCACATGTATCATCAGATAGTGCAATAGATGACGAGATGGATTTGTGAGTTATGCCGTTACCATTGATCGTTTTGTTTCTACAGTAGCTACGTTCATCCAAAATGGCCTGGTCATCGGTCAAATGAATTCCCTTGATTATGTATTTGACTAATTTTCCGTGAGGGTGTGAAGGAGCTTTCCATGTGAGTTCTACTTCAGAACTAGACAATGGTTGAGCAGCAAAGAATTGGGGAGCAGATGGCTTTGATGGAAGTGTCTTACTACGAAATACACTACTCATACTGGTCTTAGAAGAAATCGTGTAAGTCTTTACGTAATAAATGTATTCCGTGTTTGGTTCTAAATTTGTAATGACATGGTAAATTTCAGTGTCATTGAAAACTTTTTTTGAACTTATATCATCAATTTTCCAACTAGAATCTTCGCAATCAGTTGTTTCGATAGTTTCATTCCATTTAGATGCTTCGATAAAATACACAAGAAACCTTTCCAAATGATCTGCTTCTACAGGTTTGTGCATTTGTAACACAATAGATTGTGGTTCAATTTTAACGGTTTCTACTTGTAAATAATAAACAGTGCATGCGAACTGATCGCCGTTAGATATAACTGACACTTCTATATCTGAGAATGCAGGCAGTGTAGACAAATTTCCAAATTTATATATTTCTGACATACATAGCTTTGGATTGTAATGAAAAGATACTGTGCCGTTCAATATTTTCACGGGGCGAGTCTCGTTTTCACTGTTGGTCCATAGTTTTTGTAAATTTTTATTGCCACGTATCACCAAAGCCATTTTATTAACAGTATTTTCACCACGTATTTCGTACAGACTTCGCAAAAAATTCAAAGAGCTCAGCGAATACGACCGTATGATTTTTAACTGATCTAAAATTACTTCTACTTTGCCAATATATTCTTCCAGTCGACGTTCTACTTCTTCACTTGTGCCGTACTTGACTTCGATTTCCAGAGACTTGATCGTTGTACAGTTGGTGTGTAAACGATATTCGTAGTTTTTCCTCAACATGTCATCGCTGATCTTGAAACTATTACAATTCCGCTGACAGTGTCCGTATCTCGTTTTCGTGCACAGGGTACAATTTTTTTTGTCGGCCGTCACCTCAAATCCGTACGGACACTCATCGCGACAAACACGTTCGAACGGGATGTAATATGTGTTCAAATCGTCCGGTGTCGATTCCTCTCTGCTCACCGGCAAACTGTAACACTCTTCTGCGGTCAAACACGACCTGATGTGACCATACCTAAACACAAAAATAAAAACAGGATCTATCAATAAGCTATTTATTTTTATTTTTTTTTTTAACACCGATTTCATGAACATCACTTACAGGCCGTGTGGACATTCTCTGATGCATTCGCCCTTGTGCATGTACGCAGTACACGCAAAACAATGCCTGGCAGAGTGCGGTTCGTCACAACCCCCAGCGCACAATGGATGGCAACCGTTCAATCTTCCGTACTGACACCGGACGGGATCGTGTGACCAGCACAGGTCTCCCGGGCAACCAATATTAGAGCATCCCTTGCATTTTATAGGTTCGTCGTTGCTAATCACGTTAATGTCGTTACTCACTCCGTTGGCGATTTGGCCCCAATCGATTGTTGTCGCATGACATAATTCTAAAAAAATTAACAAAAGATATTATTTAAAAAAAAAAAAAACACACAGATCCATTTCTAGATACAAAATCAATATTATGCAACACCACAGCCCAAATGTTTTAATGCGTTTTACCGCGGTAAACATAAATCAATTATCAATGTATAGATTTCAAATATCTTAAACACATATATGTAGGTACCTACATAAAAAAAATTAATGAAACATATATATTGCGGCTGAAACGGATAATGTCTGGGGCTGGCTAATATTAAGTTTTTAACTTTTATCCGAACAAATTAAAATAACTTATTGTACATAATTATAAATTGTATTGATCGATAATTATTTGACAGGCACTAAAAGTAAATATTTGATATACTAATATAAAAATAACATTACTTAGTAAAATTAATATTACATAAGACGTTCGTTACTAATTACTGAACTTTTATAACGTTTAAAATTACACATAACATCCCCAAAATTTCACATTTACATACTTAATTATTTACACAACCTTTGGAAAATATTTTAATTTTTTTAAACCTTAGGCTAATTCTGTCAACATTTATTGCCAGTCACAGCCAGCCCCGCAACAATGCCCCTTCAAACATTTAATTTCTATGGGCATCTTTTTAATTAGTAAAAGGTTTCGCAGGACAATCCATTGTAAAAAATGTAATGTCGATTACATAATTTTAAAAAGTCCCCTTTGCGACGCCCTAGGTACCAGACACCTAATAAAGAAACATGCACTGAATCATTAAAACTAACAAGATGAAACTTGGTAATCGAGTTATGTAGCCGTAAGCGTCATTTTCGTGCTCGGCGAAGTAAAGTTTTCTACAACAATTAATTATTAGACACTATATTGTACTCCACAGACAGTACTGGACAACTATCGCACTGTACGCAACCGCAAATATTTAAGGCCTGCCAGTCAAACAAACGTGGTTGTAATTGCGTTATTAATGAATTGTCGAAAATGTAATAATGTTTGCGATAAATGATAATTCCATAATAGACAGTGACAACGTCCAGAAACTCGGACATTAGATTACATCGTGCGAACCGTGTTAATATTAATTTTACACACAAAAATTTATCACCAAAAAATATATATTGTACGGGATTAATATTATCACACACGATAACGGTAACAACGACAAGTATATAATATCTGTATAATAAAATAATATTGTTTAATGAAAAATTTACGATTCTTCCCCCCTTCTAAAAAAAAAAAGTTTGGATGTAACCACGCGTAGATGCATAAAAAATATTTAAACAAACGCTAATTGTAAGTATAATATATTAAATTGTTAAATATTTTGTATTATGTAAAAATACCTATTACATAATATGCATTCCAATTTTAAAATAAAACATTAGTACCTATACCTAAATTTGACGGTTGGTTGCTCGTTTAGTTCAAAACCACAAACATACGTTATTCCTGATTTGTGTATTTTAATAAATATTTACATATATGTATAATGTACATATATTAACCAAGGTGAATGATTTAAGTTTGGAATTTTAACAATAGTAGATATACCAGTCAACCCGTGACGCACAAAAATGTATTTGTTATAATTTATAATATGCTTATATATAATATACAATTGCGAAAAAATCAATACCATATAATATACGCGTTTTTATTAAAAAAATAACCAGAATATATTAGGATTTATTCAAAAAGAATAAATAAATATAAAATGATTGAATAATAAGATAGTTTGGTAAAAAATGAATTTAAACAAAATATTTTGAATCTGGTAATCACTTGTCTACCTTTTACTTTTGAAAGTGATTTAAAGATGGGGTAGCCTGGGTAAATCAATGTTTCAGAATCCCCAAATACAAAATTTAAAATATGTATGATAATAATATTTTTATATAAATTTATAATTGCTTATCTGTTTTTAACACAATCTATTGAATACAAATTTATCTAATAACTATAATTTTAAGTGATAATCATCAATATATGGGTGTTGTAGTGTTTACTCATATTACCTATAATAATCTTTTCTTTATCTTCTTATCTGTTATACTATATGAAATTTAAGATTTTGACAATATACATTAGTACTTAAATTGCATTCATTATTTAATGTGGCAGTACAGTAAGAATTAAAATCTATTATTTTGTATTTACTAACTGTAAACCTGTATTAAATTTTACTAATTTTGTTAGTTTTTAGTTCAAATTGTATTTCGAAGCTTGCAAAATTTTAATACTAAAATATTTAACTCTCTTTTAACCAGTGCTAGTGTAGAATGATCGTTTTCGAAATTGAAAATAATTAAAAACTTTTAGAGGAATACCATGATCAAAGAGCATCTTTAAGGCTTAACTTTTATAAGCAGTAGAATATTATTTAGCAAAAATTTAACTACAAAAATTCAATGAATAATATTTCATTTAATAATCAGTTTACATAATTAAAGTAAAAAAAGTTAATATAATTTATTTCAAATATTTTTGTCGGTTTTGGTTTATTTGGATTATTGTTAAATGCTCAATAACTAATTATTTTTATGGTACCCTCTTTATAAATATGTTAATGACCCTTGACACGTTTTTATATTTAAGCTTTGTACCAATATACAATTTGTTGATTTTTCGTTTTAATAAATTAATTGTTTGTTTTCAGTTTAAAATGGTGAATCTTTTATTTGTTGAAAAATGTTTAAAGACCGTACAGTAGATAATAATAGAAAGTTTTAAAGACTTTTGATTGATGAAAAAACGACACATCGACTCTAAATGGACCGAAGTGTGGAAAAAACCCGTGTTTTAAGTTTGAACCACTTGTGGTTTCAGAATAAAAATAAAGTAAGATTACTTGTTGGATTTAGTCGGTACCTAAATATTTTTTTTTTAAGAAAAATAATATATAAATTAAAAAACAAATTAAAAGATTACACGAAATGTAAATACCTATTGGATTAAAATTAATTTATTAATAAAAACCCGTGTAACTACGCTCGTAAATAAAATCATCTTCTTTAGATTTTATATCCAGTAATTTTACTCTAATTATAGCCTAAAACCCAGAATGATTGAAATACAGAGAAGATTATTCTTTACTGTTCGTTCGGAGAGACTAAGAAGATATTATGTGAAATGAAATGAAAGACAATTTATTGCTTCGTTAACATAAGAATACATGTCATTATAATAAGTACAGATGTATTAATGATAAAGATACGGAAGCCATATTGTATATAATTTTATTTTTGGAGTCCACAAAGTTGATTTTAAAAAACTAATTGGTATTTGAGTATAATTTCCAACTTTTTAATAATAATTATATCAATTATACTGGCGATGACAATAATAGTCAAATGCAGATTCAAGTTTTATAAACTAATAAAGATTTTTTTTAATTGAGTTTTATCATCATTTAGTGTTAATACCTATAATTAATAATCCTTGAAAATTCATTATAAAATCGTATCAGTGTCAGGGATAATCCGGATTTAATTTCACAAACCGATAAGTCGAGATCATAGCATCAATATTCAATCACGAGAGGAGTCCTTCTAACCTATAATTTGAAGTGGATGAATGATAGAAATCAATTATGACAAATCACCTTCTAAGTGTTGCTCTCATAATATTATAAATAATGATATCCACATAATGGGGGAGTGCACGTTAAGAGTGTTCAACAATAGGCACCCTCAGCTCTTAGAAAAAATACTTCGAAATTCCCTAGTCAATTACGTATATTATCACCCATTCACCCACCAGAAATCAAAAATTATAAATAGTAGTTGGGTGACGGTGGGTTTTTTGATTACTTAATTAAAAAATAAAACAAAAATTGTAATAATATTTTGAATAATGACACACATTTGCGATCATTATAGCGCCCATGTGACAAGCGTGGCCAACGTGTATAATTTATACTTAGGAATTTACAATAGTGCAGTTTATCGTGGTTTATATCGGGTGATTCGTTTAACGTAAGACACTCATTATTTCAATAACTACTAGGATATCATAGACGAGATGTTTATTTAAAGTTTAGCCGAACACACTTAAGTGGTACAGGGATATCTCACAATAAATCAGTCTACTATTCCGCTCATAAAAACTCTATTACTTACAACGGATAAACTACTTTTCCAAAATTTGTTTTTTATGCATCAAAATATTCAAGATAATATTTTGCTTCGGAATATGAAATAAACAACGAATGTTATTATTCAAAACAGTAAGAATTTATAAAATTAAAACGATAGAAAATTTATGAAAAAATATCATTTTTTTCCAAAAATGTTGTTGTGTAACACAACTTCAGTTACCTAAGAAAAGAAAATATATTTTCAAAAACGTTTGTACATGATGTTTTAAACTCACTAGGGTTTTTCGAAATGATCACGGAACCCCGTGTGATGTTGGTCAAGCTGTACAGTCCGATCTCCCTGAGGTCGACGTTGTCGTGGATCATGAGCGCCAGCCCCGGAAAATGGGGACTGTGTGTCCCGCGGATCAACATCAGGTTCGGGAATAGCTTTCCGAGGTTGTACAGACCGGCCACGCGGTACACGACCAGGTACTGAGTGATCTCGCGTAACAGCGGAAAGCTGATGTCGAAGTCGGACGGTTTGGTGGCATCGAGCAGCACGATCTGCACGGAACCCTGGACGATGGTGCAGTTGTGCAACGCGGACAGGCGGTCTCCACTGTTGCGCACGTCTATGCTGCCGCACACCTTTTCCTCGACAGCCGCGGTCGCGACGGACAGCGACCACAGCCACACGAACGCGATCCACCACCCGTTCATGGACACTATTTTTTGAGCAAAGGTCGTTTGTACTTCATCGGTCAGTCAAAATGCGAGTGTAATATAATAAATAAAGAGCGTCGAGCACCACGGTTGTTGCGTCTTGCAGACCTTTATGTTTATGTCTGTCAGGTACACGTCAACGACGTTAGGACAACAGGAATACGATCAACTAATAGTGTGCCCACCCGAGTAACTACTGATGGGTAGGAATATAATATTATTAGGATATTATTAGGAGGTACTGTGTTATTTCTCTTACGGGACGCAACGACGAAAACGAACCGATTCGACCGAATGCGTGCAAGTAAAATCGTAAAAAATATTCTAATGCGACGACGACAACAATAACAACAACAACAACAACAACAATAATAATGTTATTATTTTTTCTGTGTGAACTACCGCGCGGCCGGATCACACGTCACATGGCACGCATGCAGCGGCTGCGGCACGGATCATCGCGAACCGAGGAGAACGCGTGGCGCTGCACTCCTCCGACGACACTCGACTGCGACGTTTGCTACTGCTGTGGCGGCGCAGCCAGCAGTGGCGATGACGACGTTCGTTGTGACGAAAGCGACGGCGGCGGCGGCGTACATCTTGTTGCGCGACGCGTCACGGGGGGAAATCGTAGCGCCCGCACGCGATTCTCCAGCGGCGGCGGCGGCAGTGGGCGGCGCCGCCCGAAAAATATAAACGCTGAACCGACCGGACCACTTGGTGGGGTGGTTGGTTGAGTAATGGTTTGACGGCAGAGGAGGGGGTTGTCGTCGGAAACAGAAAAAACGTAATGCTCTCGCGACGACGATCGGTATGGATGTTATTCGAAAAATACGTTTTATTAAAATTTTCGAACACCGCGACCGAGGCCTAACGATTTTCTGTCGACTTGTTCGCCGACTAAAAGTTCCGGAATCACGATCACTCGGATTATATTGATGATTTCATAGCTTCGTCCGACGATGGCAGCGGCGGTGGTGTGCGGAGAGAAGGTGACATTTTACTCGTCCTGCGGAAAATAAACAATATTAGTCGATTACAAAATATCATGGAAAGTTTTCCAATCGTTTCCAGGACGTCGATAACGCGTATGCAGAAAAATAATATGCGCTCGATAAAATTCATAGGGTTGTTGATTCATGAATAATATTAATTTACTTAATAGCAAATGTAACGATGAACGTGAAGTAAAAACGGACACGTGTTCGACAAATCGTGGGGTGAGTGTATGCGCGCGCGTCAGGGGGGGGGGAAGGGTTATTACGTATTGATGCGGGAGGGGTTGATTTTCTGCAGATCCCCGGGAACACAGCTCGAAAATACGTCGAGACTCGTCATTCGTAGGGTGACTATAAAACGAGAAATATTATTCTAATGAACTCAAAACTGCTAATTTAATAATTGGTAATCAGGTAATACTGCGTTTACGATTTTACGCATAAATTCTATCTCAGTTACGATACAATAACGCTTATACGGGTTAACTATTATCATATTTTGTACCGATATTTGTCATAATAGGGCTCAATCTGAATTTAATAGTCGACCAAGTCCCAGCAAAATATTAAACGAACCCTTATAATTATAAAAAATAACTTATATTTGGCGTTTGCTAATGTTAGCCTAATAATTCATACCGGCAATTCAGTTCAATAATTCATACAATAATTACAAAAACCCTGCTCAAAGTATAAAATTAAAAAAGGGGGAAAAGGACGCTCTGTTGTATAGTTGTAGGTAACAATAACTATACCTCATCATTGACCAAGTAGATGTATTTGTTAAATTTTAATTCAATGATAAATCTTTGTATACCAAAAATTATTCTAAACGAAAACGATCTGTCAGCCTTATTGTTTTACATTACTAATAACTAGTAACTAGTACTATATTTCATGATATGTATTTTGATTTAGCTATTAATATTACATTATTACAGTAAGTTGAATAAATGTTTGATGATAACATTGCATTTACTATATTATTAATATTTAATTATTACAATAGTATATAATACTAATATCATAACTTGTTATTAATTTTTAACTCAATACGGCCTCACCGTAGAAGTTGTAGAACAGAGTTATAGATGTATGTTATACATTTAAAAAAAAACAATAGGCAATTAATCTAAATGTTTTGAAAATGTTATTGTAAACATAATGTATTAGAATAAATTATATAATATACTTATATACGTAAACGTTGCAAGTCCCCCACGAAAACTATTTTTTAATTATTTTAAAACAAAACTAATGAGGAAGCTCGTATTAAATTTTAAACTATTCTTAGAAAAAATATTATCAACATTTATAAAAAAAAATTAAAAATTTCAAGCTTCTATAAAATATAGCATAGTAAAATCATACTTAATATTATTTAGTACATAAAATGCTAATATAAACATTTAGAGAAAACTTCAAGTAATTAAAATACCTATTTTGTTTTTGAATTACAACAAAATAAGAATTTTATCAAAAATTGGTTTTGAATGAAAATTTCCGTTTTTCCTATTTTTTGTTTTTTCTAATTATTAGAAAATTACTAGAAATATTTTACTCTTAACACCTAAAAATACCAACTAGTTTCTTTTTTCTATCATAAAAGATACTTGTGTTAAAAATCTTAATATTTTGACTGATCCAAAAAGTGATGACTGACGATACACACACCCTTAAACAAAACTCACAGCGTTGCAAAATATATCGTTCCGCTTAGAATTTAAAACATTAGTTGTGATTAAAAAATTAATGACGCCGAGGACTAAAACTTTTTATTATGGTTTAAATTTTACTGAAAGTTTCAAGTAATTTAAACAATATTTTAAGAAACAAATATCTAGAAAAGAGAAATCGCCTATATTTTCGAACATCACAGCATTATATTATAAAGTCGTTCCACGGAAACAATTGAAATAATACAACATCACGTACAACGACACACACACCATTTAAGTGGCCTCCGGGACATCACAGATTTACATAATTTTCGAATAAAAATGATTAGAAACGATCCAAACCGTATGGGACATAATATCATACTACCCAGTGGACAGTACCCGTATATTAAATGAGCGCGTGTGCGTGCGTGTACAAGACACTAAATACGTCTAACAACAGAATTTTATATAGTTTTCGAAACGTCATAGCCACGATAAGGATAACACCACACATGTAATATATTATCTGGAAAACGATAATATTTTAAGCTGCGCAATTACTAATCAATTGACACACCATATCGTTTCTTTGCATGACCAGTAAATAAAAATGCAATTCACACAAAATATGTAATCATATTCGTAAACATAAGTACTGTGACAAAATTATCGGAAAAGGGTAACAAGAAAATAATATACCTAACCATTAAATAATACAGTAGTATGAAAAACAGTGTATAAGCTTAAATAGGTACTACTCGGTTCCTCGGTTGGAAACGTTCATGTATTTGTATATTTACAATGATGAATGTATTATTATCCAAGTTAGATTTTTCAATTTTTACAAATATCTATAACAGAGTACTTATGTTTTAAAATAGATATAGGAACATCCCGCAAAAATGTTGTTTAACTATCCATTTTTTTATTTTTGTTTTAAAATTAAATTTAAAAAAAAATCACCAGGTATGATAAAAAAAAAAAGAGAGAATAATTAATAAAAATGAGCACATAAACTTAGTTACATAATTGAATGAATTACTTCGTATCATCGTATAACAACATGAAGTATCGAGTACCTAGTATTGTTAAATAATAAATAGTTTAATTACTAATAATAGTACAAACTATAATGTAACGTATTATGTATGAATTATGGCAAGTAAAGAGTGTGTACAGTGTTTTTTTGACACGTCTTTGCCGCCGTTAAACGTATTACTGCAAAACGCTGATTCATTCACAAACACAATCGACCGTGATCAGTGCACAGAATTGTGAGTGGTTGTGTGACACGCCACAACCGCAATATCAGCATAAATATTATATCATCACAATAATAAAGAGGATATTAAAACGCCCGCCAAGATTTGAAGAATACCGTCAAAACAACTCGATTTGACAACAATAAGTAAAATTGTACGTCCGGTTTCGTTTACAATGCGGATAAACTAAAATATAATACCGGGTCACGTGTGTAAAGCGACTACATATTTTATTGTAAACATTAAAATCCTTATATCCCTGTCACTGTATTTATATCAATATGCTTTCGCACTGTAGAATGTATAATGTCTACATTTTCACACGAAGAATCGATGGTTTCTATGTACAACTTGTCTTTGTATTGAATTCATCATAGTGCTCCTTTGTCCGATTTATTTGATAAAAATAAAATTTAAGCACATGTAAATATTCTAGTATTCAAATAATATTTTATTTTTATTTTTGTTATACATTTTTTTTCCTTTATTGAAAAATAATATAACGAATTCGTGCTAAAAACTGTTCAGTTTTTGCACTTCATACAAACTTATTTTCTTTTTCAAAAGATCGATCAACTTCTAAATGATTGCATTATGAATATATTTTATAATTAAAAATAAAGTAATTTTTTTCACCTTAACAGAATTAATTTTGCATTGTATATATAATTTATATTGTACAGATTTTTTCAAGAAACCAATAAGGGAGAAACTAAAAGGATAGAATGGGAAATACGAATTAAATTATTTTTTCGTTTTTTCATTTATCAAAAATAAATACAAATTTAAGAATAAATTATGTTGAAAAATAAAAAAAGGCAAGATGTTTCTGAAAACTAATTTACTCACACAAAACCTTTTTTAAATATTACGTGTAATAGTTTCACCAAGTATTCTAAAATTCTAGAAAGAGAAACCACGCTTTCAAAATTTTATATAATGCGTAAACATAATTTTGAAAGCTTTCAAAATCATATTTACGCATTATGATTGAAATTAAATACAAGTTATTGTGAACATAATAAAAACTTAAATCAACGTTATCTCAGAAACTTTTTTATAATATTCAGGTTTTCAAGAGTTATGAACTGTTAAAAAATTAAATGATTAGTAGCTTTCTTGAAAATTGTTTACATTAAAAAATAATAAGCTGCAGTAAATCAACAATAACAATGTCATCAATAATAATCATTTTTATAATCGCAAGTCAACCGTGATCTCACGGAAATGCGGAAAGCAGCCGTGCTTTCATTAAGTTTTGACAGCATATACCATATACTATGTAAGTATTGTAAGTGTGTATATAATATATAACGTTATTTTCACCCTTTTTAATTAGATTGCGTTAACGTTTTGCCATGGTACTGTTTAGCGTAGATTAACAAATCATGAATAACAACTATAATTATTGTAATCTTAGATGTAATGACAATACACGTAATATAACGTCATATACTATCTCGAATCAAAAATAGGTATTTTCTTTATATTTTTATTCCAACGTCAATTACCAGAAACCCGCGGGTCACTATCGTAATTATTGGCAAATCGACGAAATTTTAATTTTATCGCAATGTCATTTATAAAGCTTATTAGAGTTTTACACACATTATATCACCCACAGAAACCGGAAATAAGCATACATACCTTACATTGAGAATTACCTATGAAATAAATACACGAGATCAGAAAACTTCGCCGGCGTTATATAGGCAATAATGTCTTATGGTGTATCTTGCAAAAGCAAATTATTTGATTTATAAATAATATTTCTACATTAGTTCTGTATAATATACAAAAAATGAATTGTACATGATTATGTTTTCCAAACACGAAGTCTTTATCAACAACAATCACGAAGCCTCAGGCAAAGTTCCTGCCCTCGCACGCCCCTTTTCACCAACATTGAATTTCGCTTTTATGTAATTTATAATATAATAATGGGTTGACTGCCCTGAATAAAAAATGTAGTGAGATATTTAAATTTTAAACTGAAAAAAGTTTTATTAAAAAACATTCAAATTACGTAAATTTAAATAATGTATTTTAATCTCAAATGATACGAAGAAATGGCAAAAACACGTTATG